AGCATCTGTCCACTGTTCTTGTCAATAACATGCTTTTTTGTTTATGATATGAAGCATCTGTCCACTGTACTTGTCAATAACATGCTTTTTTGTTTATGATATGAAGCATCTGTCCACTGTACTTGTCAATAACATGCTTTTTTGTTTATGATATGTAGCATCTGTCCACTGTACTTGTCAATAACATGCTTTTTTGTTTATGATAACTCAATAGGTAATGGCAAGGCATTAACTCTTTGATGATTTCTTACATAATACATTCTGTGAAGCTGATAAAACTAGAAATAAGAACTGCATTTAAACTGATAATAACATTTCTTGAAGCTAAAGCACACGCACAGAAATAAACTTCTTACTAAATAAATATTCATATGCTGTTTTAATCTTGAAAAAATTACATTACTGAAAATGAAATGTAACATACTTTCAAGAGATTTTGCATACAAAAAGTAAAATTCCTATTGAAATATCCAAGACCTTTAAATTAATGCACACATTTTCACAAGTTAAAGGTCAAAAACTTCATTGTTGAAAGATATTTGCTTTAGAATTTCTAACTCGCCATGGATAAAAAAGACAAAACTTACAAACACCAATTCATTCTCAGCCTCCATACTGTCTAGTGGCTGATAGTTTCTGTCTATTTCCTCAACAGATAGAATATTGCTGGCTGCGGGTTGATTATTTTGCACTCTATCTGGTATGTCTTCAGTATCACATGTATCCATCTTGGCTTCCCCTGAGGATGCAGTATTTGAGCATTCTTGAACTTCTACACAGGAATTTGATGACTCTTCTTGAGTAGGTCCTGTAGGTTCGGGAAGAGCTTGGTGTAATGAATCTGGACTCAAGCTGGTTTCGGATATCTTTTCAACACTAGTAGATGCCCAGTCGTCACTTTTTGATTGATCAGACAGAAAGTCTTGTACATGTGGATGAGAGAGGGGTTTTGTGACGTGAGCTTGGCTCTTCAGTGACTCAACAGGACGGTACATTAACCTATATAACAATTCTGTCAATGTCAAGTATGTAGATACAACTTTTATGCTCATCAAATTTATTTTACCCATAGAATTACATTTCAATATTTACACTGCATCAGCTATATCTTTCAATACCCCAATTAGAAAGCCAGTCTTATTTTTAAAACAATATTTAACATACATTTTGAAATTTTTCTTCTGGTTGGGCTTTCATTGAGAGAATTTATAAGCCCTGGGACTTGCACAAGTTATAGGCAATAGAACAATAAATACAATGTCTACAATAATTTCACCTTTTTTTTTGTTCATACTTGATGTAACTTTAATTTTAAATTGATATTATAACTTTTGTTATATTAGAGTTTTATATTTAAGAATATATGTTATTAATAATTTTTAATCAAGTACAAGTAAATTTTGGAGATCAGAACTAAAAACTAACTTATAATTATAGAAGATAATTTAATAAAATAAATAAGCAAGGAAACAAACCTACAGCAACTAACTCACCACTTGTGTATCCTTGCTATTAACAATATTTCTGGCTGTTTAGATTTATAACAAGAATTTAACAAGCTTTTATCTTTGCTCGTTCTTGGAATTTCTAAGATTACATCATCCTTGTAACACTTGAAGCCATTCGTGAGAATTTATTACATTAATCATCTTATAAAACTAAGAATTTATTACATTAATCATCTTATAAAACTAAGAATTTATTATATTAATCATCTTATAAAAGTAAATATTTATTATATTAATCATCATATAAAAGTTAGAATTTATTACATTAATCATCATCTAAAAGTAAGAATTTATTACATTAATCATCTTATAAAACTAAGAATTTATTACATTAATCATCATCTAAAGTAAGAATTTATTACATTAATCATCATATAAAACTCTAAGAATATATTACATTAATCATCAATATAAGTTTTTATATTATTTTTTTATATAAAGTTTTTTTCCTCCCATTCCTGGTGTAAGGAATAATGCTTGTATCTTTTTATGGAATGATATATTTGTTAATGAATTATAGACTTATATTTAGGCTATTATCCAAGAGCTTAAATTATTTAGATGAATTAGTAGTTAATCAAAAATACAATTAAACATACCTGATTATAGCTTTCCCACTCGTTAGCCCTAAACTATGAAGGGTTGTGTTTTTCAATGCCACCTCACCAGCAACCTGAGTAATCAATAAAAAACAGAGAGATAAATCAGTGTCTTTAACAAATATTATATAGAAAATATTACAATTGTATTTTACAAAAGAAATAACAACATCTCTAAAATTAAATCATAATCCACAAGAAACAGTGGGAAGTGTACAGGGCAATGACAGATCCAAACAATGAAAGGAATGGGTCAAATTTCAACTATGAATACTAAAATTAAATAATGCATGTAAAATCTTGTCAAAACTTGGAAATCGATTAATCAAAACGGAAATGAGCAATCATTAAACTCTATCTTAAACACCGAAACAAAGGTAATTTAACTGAAGGACAAGCTAATGAAATATAAAACATTACTAGAAAAATAGTATACTTTATAATTTCCAGAAAACTACCAATAAACCTTAATACTTCAGGAGAAAGATTTGTAAAATTATCACAGAAATTAATCTATTCCATTAGTTCATAGATACTGATATACTCACAGGAACCAGTATGAATTCAATATACTGAGACTACCCACAGTATAAGAACAATTATGTTTTTGAGTAAACTAATGGCATTTGTAAGTTACACTCTAAAATCTTTGATTTTAATAATTCAGAGAAAGGGTTGGTTGTTAAATAAATATCAAGGTAAGTTTTTTACTTCTTTTCTCATATACACACATATAGGCTCTCCTTCTGTGGGTCCACCTTGGACAACATTCTTACCCCTGTAAGTGAAAAAACAAAAAACATCTAACAAATATAAAGTGGAAAGGCAAATAGTAATGAATTACACAAAACATACATACATAACGTAAGTACACATATTATACACGTGTACCAATATCTAACAAATACAATTTAGGACATGTTTAAAAGCAGACTACATTTAAATAAGACAACTAATGGGAAGGCACCAATAAGGCTTACACTGAAACGTTTATTACAGCATATAAAAAAGAAAATAATGAGTGAAATGTTAATCACAATTATACAAGTGTTTTGGAATAAGCTATAAAGACTGTATTAGAAAAACATTATACAGACACACATTTTACACTTTCAGTCAGTCTTTGAGATACACCATTTTAACTGGATTTGTTGCATAAATATCTTTCAGAATAATTCAGATAATATCTTCTTTTAAAGATGAACTTCCTTCATGTAAAATTTATTAACTCAGACTATTAACAAGATTCATAATTCATGTGAGTTCTGTGAACAGTATAGATAGGACAAATATCCAGTTGGAGTCAACATTGCACTACTCAACTGAATTTGATCCAATGTTAATTTAGCAATACATTGGGTAATTATAGGGCACTTCTATGAATGGATTATCTTATGATAATATGTAAGCCTGTTACTATTTGCATGTGTATCACACATAACAGGTGTTCCATCACCTAGTCCACTGATGCCATTTACTAGCCTCTAAACAGAGTGACATTCTTCCCAGTATTATAGAGTGTGAGACCTGATAGTTGTAATACAAGTAGTTATTATATCACTATGCTTATGCGCTTACAAATCTTTATTCGACTACTAATTTAAATAAACAGCAACGACATACATCATAGGGTGAAAATGTATGTATTGCAAGTGCTCAGGGAAAGAAGTCAAACAACTGATTTATTTAAATCATATCTATTATTTCAATTCATTTTGAAGTTGTGTGAATGGTAGGACAAGGGTTAGAAATCACCTTAAGCTTAGCCAGTTTTACTTTTATAACAGGGTGGTTGGAACGGTTCCCTTCAGAAGTGGATGAAGTAAATTTAAAGGAGTTAAAAGGAAGCCTCTATAAATATTTAAATGATCAACGCTGAGTTTGAGTGCTTTTAAATTTGGATGAGACAGCCTTGACAGGTCAGAAGACCCCTTGTTGACCCTTAACTGATAAATCTCTCATGTTACCAAGTGCCACATTTCTTAACTCTCTCAACATGGGCTTGATCAATTTGACTGACCACATGACCTCTTTGTACTCGATTAAAGTCTTTATAGATTTAATACTTCTAACTTTCAATATAGTGTGTATATCTTCACAAAATTTGGCAGTCTTTCAGTTTACATTATAAATCTTTCACATACAAAAAATCATATTTTTAGTGAAGTATTTTTATTCAAATAAAATAAAGATTTGTCCATGAATATATTGAGTATTTGTTTTGAATAGTCTGTGTGAAAAGTAATTTTATTTTAAAATTAAAAATACTTTTCGTCATCTCAAAAATTACAAATTTCCTTTGTGTAATTTCGTGAAAACTTCCTAAATGCATTTCAAACGTTTTTTTTAGTAAAACTTTATTGTTTATCTGTTATTTTCTCTACCCTAACCCAAAATAGATGGGTCAATTCGACCGACTTCGTAACCACCAAAAAAAAAAAAATCAAAATAAACCTAAATTACCCTTTTATTGTTTCTAGAATTACTTCAAATTATAACATGAAACTACATTCATTTACCACAAGTAGCTCTAAGTTTGTAACAGTATACATCTATTTGTAATTATATTTTATTGTTTTATTGCCCTTTGAACCATGTCTAACTACTATCTGCACCATTATAAGTTGTAAATCACTTGGGGACGTGTAGGTCACATTATGCTATCGAATTACATTTACCCACAAGCTTCTCACTAGCGTGCCTCATGAACCATTTTAATTATATTATTATTATTTTACCTAATCTAATCTTAAATAACTTAAAAAGATCCGTATTTTTAGATTTTAGTTACTTTTATAATAATAAATAAAGATTAAATATGAAAAACAAGAAATAAAGTACTTACCCAATTTTCTTTTTTCCTGCTGTCAGGTTTCGAAGAGAGTTAATCCTAATTTTTATACTAAAGATAGTAATGCACTTAATAATTTTTATTTGATTAAATAATACACCAAAGAATATAGACTAATAACATACAAAAAGTAGACAAATTCACTAACCTCTCAAAATTTTTCGGGCTTTCTAACTATGCTACAGGAGCAGTTATAATTTCATCCAAGCTAGTCGTTAACTTTCCCATGGGAATGAATCTTGTAGTGTGAGTGAAATTGACAATATTTTGTCCAGAATACAACGTTGTACAACATGTCATTTGATAGAAGAAAACCTTGACTTTCTATTGGTTATAGGTAATATATAATGAAACGTAAGAGAAAACTATCAACGAATTGTAAAAGAAAGGAGGTGACAGGTGGGTGTGGAAGGAGATGTCTGATTTTCTATTCTATAGCTCTGTAACCAAACAAATTTGAAGGCTATAAAAATTCTGGTTTGTTTGAGCAATAACAATTTTGTAGAGTATTCTACGTTTAATTTCGTACTTTTTCGAGAAGTGGTGGATAAAATAGGGATGATGACATAATAAGAGAAAACGTGTCACATAAGTCACACTAACGTAAATTCAGGATTTTTTTAAATATTGCCTTGTAAAAGTAAGAACTTAAAACTTTTATACTATTAAGATATGTATTATTAGCTAATATTTTATACTATTCTAATTGGTATAATATAAACAACAAGTAGTTTAATAAAATTTTGAATGTAAGACACAAAAACCTCATGTCATGCACAGTAAAGGGAACCTGAAGTAATAGGATTAAAGAGACTGGAACGACCACTCACTCATATGTCACTGTACATCTTGATTAAATATTTGTTTAAATATGGAACAAGTAGCAAGTTTAATATTTTACTATAATGAAATGTTAGTCCATGGCTATGGAGTACCTCCAGTGTGTATTCACATATATTATCCAATGTAAAAAAATAACTAAACAGACATCAGAAATCTGATCAAAACTACTATTTGCCTCATAACTAAAGAATAAACAATGTGGATGTTTGGTAAAAACCACAAAATGAAAAAAAAAAAGGTTTATTGTGTTAGCATCCAAGTTACAATACAGATTACTATGATAGTCAAGTATTTCAATAACGTACTTAAAACTGTGATACATTACGTAAAAAAAAACAAAAACTTTAGATCAGTTTTCTAATCTCTGAAACCTTGTAATATCAAAACAGATAAACATGTAGATATGTTTCATTTAGATAAAGTTTAAGAATATGTATTGTGAGACACTTAAAACGCAGCACTAAACTGAACAATTATAGACTATTAAACACTACAATTTGTTTTTATTTTCTATAAACGTGAATGATGTACCTAAAAATACTTTACCTTTCTTTTATCCAATAAGAAATAACGTCCCAAAGAGATAAGGATGACTGGAAGTCATGCAACAGTCTCTCTCCCATTTCTGTCTGTAATCCAAGAGTAACCAGACCGTCTGTACGTGGCTTGGAAGCAGGGCACATTTCAATAAGACCGTTATTAGGAAGATTGGCAAAACGAACACTAAGGCTCAAGTCTAAACGTTTATTATGGTGTCTAAAAAATAATGACCATCACAAAATCTTTTAAGATAATCAAAACTTCCTCATACAGATACAACATAAAATAATGATAAAAGAGTAATTCTTAAAAAAATATACAAATTCCACAGATCAAAATATAAACTATTTTTATACAGGCAAAAAAGTCAATATGTGTATAGTTTATCATGCAAAAAATAACCATGGGGTGGGTTACATGTGAAATATCCTTTATTTAACCATGGAAATTACTACTAATACAAAAGGGGTTTTGACCAAAAAATTTGAGATCAAAAGAGGGCTCAAAGAAAAGAATTTAATGCTATAAACAATGAAAAACATTTTATGAAATACCCAATCAGATAATCGAGATCAATAAACACTTTTTAAGTTGGATACCAAATAATCACAAAAAGAAATCATGATTTATCATGCTTGTAAAAACGGCTGGATAACTAATCTTGAATGTAATAACATAAAAATATATAAAATGTTAGGCTTACTTAAGTTCATACTGCTGCGCCTCAAAACCTTGTTTTTTCGATGCTTCTTCCAAAACCTAAAAACAAAACAGTCATTTTATATTATCAATAAGTTTGAAAAATAAAAGCAAACTTGTATAAATGAAAACAATATATTATTTACAAATTAAAATGGTGTAAAAATTGTTGTTATAACTTAAAAACATAAACAAAATGTTCATGTTGCTTCTAAGTTAAGATTTTGTTTTCTAGATAAAAAACACATTTTCAATACTAATTATATCAGAAATTTATATCTACCACATTGGCAAGTGCATTACATTTCTGTACTTAAAGCTACAAAACTATTATTTCTAAAATATAATTGAATTTCCTATAAAATTACAAATAGCAGTATCTGTAAATTCAAGAACAAAAACTCGGCAGTCTCAGAAGAAGAAACTATAAGGTATCACTCGTTTGTATCACCAAATTATGTATATCATAATAGTGTAAAAACTTAAGGTCTCACTCCTTTGTATCACCAAATTATGTATATCATAATAGTGTAAAAACTGTAAGGTATCACTCCTTTGTATCACCAAATTATGTATATCATAATAGTGTAAAAACTGTAAGGTATCACTCCTTTGTATCACCAAATTATGTATATCATAATAGTGTAAAAACTGTAAAGTATCACTCCTTTGTATATTAAAGCATTTATTACATGCTTAGATAATGGTCATTTTCACCATTCCTTACCCTACAAATATAATAACACTTACATATAAATATTTTCAATTTCAGGTACTGTTTCTT